TCCTCTTTCCTTTCCCCTTCCCTTTCCCCTTCCCTTCCCTTCTGACAGGGTCTCACTCCAGGTTGGAGGCAGAGGTGCAATCATGGCTTACCGCAGCCTCGACTCCTTGGGCTCAAGAGACCCTCCCACCTCAGCCTCCTGAGTAGCTGGGACCACAGGCATGTGCCATGATGCCTGGCTAATTTTTTAAAAAAATTTTTTTGTAGAGACAGGGTCTCACTATGTTGCCCAAGCTGGTACTGAACACCTGGGCTTAAGCAATCCTCCTGCCTTGGCCTTACAAAGTGTTGCTATTACAGGTGTGAGCTATTATGCCCAGCGTATATTTTTTTCTAATATTAGCATATAGGGAGTTACTGAATGCCCTCTAAAAATTAGTCTTCAGTTTGGAAATGATGTGTCCAAATACATTTGAGCTTGGATAAGCAAACCTGGATGATTTTCTTTCTCATGGGTATACTAATTATAACTTGTGAGTATAGTACTTTAAAGTTTCCAAAATACTTTCCACAACCATCTCATTTGATTCTTGAAAACAGCCATGTTTGCTACAGGGAGGGAGAGTATGTGACTTTATTGACATCTATACTAGGCTGTGGAAATAGACGCATTCCCAACTCTAGCTCCAAATACTGTGCTTCTCCTTCTATAGCAGTTGTTCTCAAAGTGTGGTCCCAGGACCAGCAACATCAGCATCACCTGGGATTTTGCTAGAAATGCAATGAGAAATTCTGGGATTGGGCCCCAGCAACCTGCATTTTAATAAACCTTCCAGGTGATTCTGATGCACTGAAAGTTTTAGAGCCCTACTGTACCACTACTTGCTTGAGTAACTTTGGTACTAGAAATAACAATGCTAGTTTTTCAGAGGTGTAGTTTGAAAATTTTCTCTACCTCTTCCCTTACTTGTTAGTCTTGGGAACACAAGTAGGTAACTTAACCTACTGACCCACAGTGATGCATTTTATCTGTGAAATAGGTAATAGTAATAGCTTCCTTGCCTAAAGTCCAACAGATGGGCTCTGTACAGTCTTTGATTAGCTTCCATTATTTACACAGAGTTTTAGTCTTACAGCAGGCTTAGTTTTGTTGTTTACAAGTTTGAGACGTAGCTTAAATTTAACCTATTGGTTTAGAAACAGGCAGAACTCATACTCTCCAAAAGTGCTAAGAAGAGTTATAAGCAGAGGGATGCTAGAGCCAGCACCTACTGGCTTAGAAGAGTCCATGTATGAACCTCTTCCCAATTATGTATATTGACATCACATTGTAGGCTTGAAATTGGTCATGGTCAGGGAAGATTATACCATGGAAATTAGTAAATGCTATAAACTAGGGCTTTTAGTTTCAGAGAGCTGATTGTTAAACATTTACCAGTATATCTTAGTTACAAAGTATGTTTAAATGAGCTGAAGCTTCATCTGCATGTTTGTTGGATCTGATAGTTCAGATTTGTGATCATTATAGGATCAGCATTAGGATATATATGTAGATAAAATTGGTAGTAAGGGAGTCAGATTCAGCCCAGAGATATGTTTTGTTGGTCTGCAAAATATATATATATATATATATATATATATATATATATATATATTTTAATTTTTTTTTCTTTTTTTTTTTTGACCATGATAGATCAGGAATGCAGTGTATTTATTTTTAATGTTAACTGTCAGCACTTAAAAATTGGAAGATTTAACATAAAAATATGGTGGATTTCTAGCTCTTGAAAAATAGGGTGATCTGGTAACACTGGGCACCCGCCATCGCATGGCAATAGTGGGCTGCAGGTGAATTTTAAATATGTGCAGGTTGACTTGTTTGTTACAGTCCTTGTCATTCTGTGACTCTATATCTAACCAAGGCCTTTGCTCCTTTGTTTTCTCATGTAAGGAAAACTAAGCCCCGAGAAAGAGTGTTTCTCACCAGCTGAAATCTCAACATACTGTTTTAAGCTTTCCACAATGTTAATTCAGTTGTACTAATGGACTGCAAAGCTTGATAATTAATTTCCAACTTGTCCTAAATTTCAAATGGCCTGTTTGAAAATCCAAGTAGCAGTATGACTCACTGCCTGCACTTGGGAGCTGTCATTTTTCCCAGATGGTGAAGACTTTTGAGGGAGGTCTCCGTAGGTCTCAGTGAAAATGACGCCTATCTTTGTTTTCCTTTGTGGGGATGCATGACCTCAAGCTTCAGAGGTATCTGTCCTTCAGTGAAATTTGTTTGCTGTCAGCACTTTATTAGAAAATGATTTTTAAGGAAAAGGTGAAATGATTATGTTTCCTTTCAGATCAAAGTGGTACGTGCTTGGATTATTTGCCTTGACAGGTTTTTCTTTTTCCCTAGTAGTTTCAGGAGGTTCAGCAGGACAGACTTTGTGTTTGCGATGTTGGCTCTGGAATTGGCTGTCAATATTGTTGATGAACCTCTGATTAATTTTTAGCAGGTTAACCTATGATTCCAAGACTGGCTGATGAAATAACTACTTTTCAGTTAGGGTCATCCAGGAGATAACTTTCCCTGTTCCACGTAATAAATGTTTATTAAGCAATTATTATGTGCAGGTGTTTGAGCATAGTACTAAGGGGCAGCCAGAGACCTAGAAAACAAGCCAGAATGTGACCTGTGCTGTAAGTGCAATGGAAGGCTGTGGAATCAGGGAGGACAGAGGAAATAGCATTTGCACTGCTATACCCTGCCAATAGTCTTTCAGGTCTCCAGATAGTTTTATATCTGTAATTTTGCTTTTTAAAACATGTATAATTACATACACCTCATCCAGAAGTTTCACTTGGTAAAAAAAGAAATGTGTAGAACCATTTATGAGGTAGATTTACTTGACACCATGGGTCATTTAGAATGTTTATTTCAAGAATAATCAAAAATATTTCCATTATCTGGTTGGTAAACTCTTCTAATTACTTCTGTTCTACAGGTATAGAAACGGAGGTTTTTGTTAAATAGGAAACTCAAATGAGTGTCATGAAGTCAAAAATTTTGTTTTAGCTCTTTTTCTTGTTTGTTTAGACAGAATCTCAATGTGTTGCCCAGGCTGGAGTACGGTGGCACGATCATGGCTCACTCCAGCCTTGACCTCCCAAGCCCAAGTGATCCTCCCACTTCAGCCTCCCAAGCAGCTAGGACCGTCGGCATGTACCCCATGCCTGGTTAATTTTTTTTTTTTTTGTAGAGATGAGGTCTCCCTCTATTGCCCAGGTTGGCCTCAAAATTTGTGGTTTAAGTGATCCTCTCACCTCGGCCGCCCAAAATGCTGGGATTACAGGTGTGAACCACCACACCCCAGCTTGTTTTAACTCTTAACTTTTATAATGAAGATAATATCTTTTTGACAAAATACCTAAGTCTAGTACTTGTGTAAGCTGTTTTCAGACTCCAGAAGCAGTACCCATGATGACAATGAAGACACCAGAAGTACAGCAAGTCATTGGGAGATATTTGCTAGTTGTGTCACCCAGGGAGAGTTATTTAAGATCTCTGAATCTTAACTGTAGAATAAGGTTGATAGTATCTACTTTTTGGGTTTTAGGGAGAATTAAATAATCTGCTACAAGGGTTTGGCGTGTAGTAAACAGTAAATAGTTGCTGTTATATTTTTAAGAGTTTTTAAAAATTTATATTGGATCTTTTAAATTATCTTCATTTGTTCAGTTTCATGTTGGTGTTAGTTTTTTTTTCTTTCTTTCCTTTGTCCATGGAAAATGATCGGGAATCCAGACCTCTAGGCCAGTAGTAATACACTTGAAGATCATAAATTAAACTTTTGAAAATGCAAAATGGCTGCCAGACCCTAAGCCTAGCCCTCAGCCAGCTCATTCCCCTTTACCTTTTTGCCCCTGTACATTTTTGTCTCAGGAACATAATAGGACACTCTGGGACTGCCCCAGACGTTAAGAAAAGGGCCAGCATTTTTTGAACCTTTTGTATTTGTCAAGACCTATGTAAGCACTTTACATATATTATTAGGTAATCTTCACAGCAACACTGTGCAATGAGTGTTATTATTATCATCCCCATTTTACACATGAGGGCACTGAGGTTTGAAAAGTTAAGTAATTTGTCTTAAATCCTTTAGTTAAGTAAATTTTAGAGCTAGAATTCAAAGCCAGCTGTAACTCCAGAGCCCAAGCATGGGAAAAGGGTAGTTGGGCTTTGTGGGCTCAATAGTGATTCACCCCAGCTCCCAGTCCCTTGGGACTTCATGCTCTACCAAGGAAGTATAGCATTTTTGTGGCTTTCTGAATATTCTCAGTCTGCTCACCCTGTGGGAGCACCTCTTTCTTGGTGGCATCCCGTATTTGATTCCTGTGGCTGCTATAACAAATTACCAAAAACTTAATGGTTCAAACAACAGAAATTTATTCGCTCATAGTTCTTGATGCCAGAAGTTCAAATTCAAAGCATTGGCAGGACTGTAATTCCTTCAGAGGATCTTGGGGAGATGCCATTCCTTGCCCCTTCCAGCTCCTGGTGGCCGTCAGCATTCATTGGCCTGTAGTGCAGCACTCCAGTGTCTGCCTTTGTCTTCACATGGCCTTCCCCTCTGCATCTTTTGTACGCTTGCCATTGGACTCAGGGCCCACCCCAGTAATCCAGGATGGTCACTTCATCTCAAGATACTTAATTAGATCTGCAAAGATTATTTTTCCAAATAAAGTCACATTCACAAGTGCTGAGAATTAGGACATAGTGCCATCTTTCAGGGACCACCATTCAACCCATGACATATGCTGATGGGTGCATTTCAAGCAACCAGGCAAGCTCTTGTCCTTTAGCATGCATTGTGGGCAGGTGTGACATCTAGCCAAGGCTACTTTTCCATTGCAGTGGCTGATTATCTGCAAGATTTTACAACTTGTTTTAAGGGTGTCTACATGCTTTTAATGTGAATGACCCCATCTTAAATACAACTAAAACCTCAGGGGCTTCCCCTGACATGGTCGCCTATCTCACAAGGTTTTTTTGTTGTTGTTTTGTTTTAGATTGCTGACCTGCAGCTGCATAAACTGGATGAACTGGACTGTCTGATTCAGGGCCTGCTTTATGTCGACTCTGTTGGCTTCAACGGCAAGCCAGAATGTTATTATTTTGAAAATCCCACAAATCCTGAATTGTGTCAAAAAAAGCCGTACTGCCTTGATAACCCATACCCTATGTTGCTGGTTAACATGGGCTCAGGTGTCAGCATTCTAGCTGTGTACTCCAAGGACAACTATAAAAGAGTTACAGGGACCAGGTAAACATGTTTCCACTTGTGCTTAAACCCAGACTTCTTTCTTGATGACCAGTTTATAGTAAAAGGTTATTTATATTGAATACATTTTTAAAAGAAGTATCTTGGCTTCCTTGATCAACCAAAAAGAATTTATCGAATGGTGTGTTAAAGTGATATGTGGATGATTTATATAAATGTTAATAAAATACAGTCCTTGCCTTGATAGAAACTTTGGTCAGGTTGAAGGAAGAAGAATTGCACACACCAGAAATTTGCCAACATGGTGGTGTACATTAAGTGCCAAATGATTGGCAGGGTCAGTAGAATTCAGATGGAAGGATCATTGGGATGATCAGAGGCAACTTCAGAAGAAACCTTTTGGACCTTCCTCGATGCCTAGCTCAGAAAGACTTGCTTGAAATAATACACCATTCCAATCAGCAAACTAAACTAGGTCTACAAAGAATGCTTTTTTACCCTCAGGCAAATGCTCTACCTGAAAGCTGGCATAGTCAACATACCTCCTAGGGAATTTTGGAGTGGAGTAAACAGGGAAACAGCCCTGTGGCCACAGTGGGGCACAGAGCCTTGTTTTTTAGTGCACACACCTCAAGGCCCATGTTAAGAGCCAAGGGGCTCAGCTTCCTGTTAATGGGGATTCAACATGGGAAAAACATCTGAGGTCAGATCTCTCTGAAACATCCCAGTGTAAAGAAAACTAAACAGGTTTTCCTTAATTTTCGGAGGAGGATTTGGTATGAAGCATTTCTCCAACATGTGGAACCACAGAACCAATTTTTAGAGAAACAGCTTAAGGGACTAGTGCCATGTAGAATGTGCTTTGGGACTTGACGTTGAAACCAGTGTTTTTTGACAGATGCAGATATCATGTCACTTCTCTGGGTCTCAGTATTCTCATTTCTGCCATGAAGGGGGTTGTTTCTTAGATTGCTTCTACAAACTTTTCAGTACTGAAACTCTGCAGGACTACTCACCCATTAGGAGAAGAGTATTGCTTTTGCAGTGCATTCCCATGACTTGGGATAAATGAGTGGTTCCCCACTGGGGTGGGGGAAGTTTTCACAGTCCCCCCCAGGACATGTTTGACATCTTTTTCTCTTTGGTTGTTACAACTGGAGATGGAGTGCTACTGGCATCTAGTGGGTAGAGGTCAAAGATGATGTTAAAATCCTGTAGTACGTAAGGCAACAGAAAATTATCAAGCCCCAAATGTCAGTAATGCTGCTGCTGAGAAACCCTGGCATGCATGCATGCACGTGTGTGCACGTGCACGTGCACACGCGCACACACACACACACACACATTCTTACTGAAGCCTACTTGTGTCCAGAGTATAGGCTTTGTTGTGTAAGTTAATTGTTACCAAGTATACATTTTCTCACTGAAAATATAGAAGCTTGCTTGCTCACACAATTAACAAAACTGACTCCATGGCCTCATGAGAACTGTCAGGACTATCAGAGACATAAATGTTTCAGCTGAGCTGGTTTACATTAGAGAGTGATTTGATAAATGTATAATTTTTAAGAAACTACAGACTTCCTCCCAGAAGGAGTAATTGAATTGGTAAAGTTAGTCCCAAGGTAACAAGCTATACATTGTTCACAATTAGAGATATTCACAGTTTTATTGATTAACAGTTAATAGTTTCATGAATTACATCACAGGTACATGTTCTTAAACTTGGAGGCTCCACAGATCTGGGTCATCTTAAATAGCTGCGAAGAAGCTAACTGCGGGTTTGGCTTCTATTACATGTTTAATGACGTCTGTTAATATCAGTAAATGCCCATTAATGTCCAGTATTCTCTAGTCATCAACAAATTCTGTCTGCATGTTCAGGCTTCCCTATAAACTGTCTCTTCAATCAGTAGTTTTGGAAAGGTGCTACCGAAGCCTGCAGGTTAATAGAGAACGCTTTCAGGGACTACCATGAGACTGGGTTGGGGGGTGGGAAATGAAACATCAAGTCTGTGGTGCTGTGATCCTGATCCAGAGTTGTTTTGCCAAAGGCTTCTTTTGATTCCAGTTAGAAAACCTCTGACATAAACAATTACAGTTAGCAGTGAAGTTAGTAACTACGGTTAATATGAGTGTGTAAAACACACTTTGGGAACCACTGTTCTAAACAAATGGCTTAGCTTTAAGTTTTGCTACTCCTAGTGTGAACTGGTAGCTGACACTCCAGGTTTTTTTTTATTATTGTATTATACCTGATTTTCCCATTAAATATTAAAGATATTTATTTTTAAGGAGCCACACAGGATGTCAGTTTTCTTTTAAACATAGTTTCAAATGGTGTATTTCAGTATTATGTATAATTTTGTTGCATCCCAGATTTGGTAGCAACATTTTTTTCCTAGTGATACAACTACAATTTTATTATAGAAGTCAATGGAAAAAATAGTATTTGACAGGTGACATTAGACTGTGTAGTCTGTTAAAAGAGGAATGCAACTAATTTTGAAACTTTGGTGAAAGTAGCAGTACATCTCATCTCATCATTTTGGAATCTGTTTTAAGCGCATGAGCACTAAATTGAAGGTTTCTTCTACTGTTTCTTAAAATCCCCCACTAGGATGTTGTTTCTTTGTTTTATTTTTAAATGATGATAATATTCTACCGCTTTTTCTTGCATTGTTTTTGTCTCTGATATGCTGAGGGTTTTACTGTATGCCTACTGAAACAGATGTATCTGATTGTGAGCAAGGAATCACTTAATTAAATAATGGTTAGCAGGTTGAGGATATTAATAAAGTGCTGGGAGGCATTTGGCTCTTCTGCGACCGTGCATTCTTTCCTCCTATCTGCAGTACACTTGCTGTGCAAATGCATGCTTGCTTTACCTCATTTGCTCCAATTCTTTATATGGAGTTGTCTGTCATTTTCCAGTCATACATAATGCACTTGCCCTTTTTCATTTATACCAACACATCAGCCAATGGGTTACCTTCTTTCTAAGTCAGCCAGTGTCTTCAGTTGCCTACCTTTGGAGTGGGTTGTTGAATGCCTTGATTAATACAAATCCTTAATGTCCAAAGAAAGGTTATTAGTGGAGATGAAAGATATTTAGAAGCTAGAAATAGGAGCAAAGATGTCTTTCTAAAAATACACGGGGAGAAAAAAGACAAATCCAAATAACACACAAACCAAAACATGGTCCCACACTAGCTTTGTAAGTAGGCTGAAACCAGCAATGTAGAATGACATGCTTCACCGAGTGTAAATAAAGATAATTTTTTTTAGAGGAAATCCAAAGTTTCTACTGTAACTAACTTGTAAAGGTAATAAGGTACATGGAGCTCTTCTTTTACTCATGGAATTGCACCTACAGTTTAGGTAGCTGCTACTGGTGGTGCCTAAGTACATAATTTTCCATGAAAAGCCATAATTTCAATCATATATATATATATATGTATATATGTATGTATGTTATGTATGTTATATATATATATATATATATATATACACACACACACACACACACACACACACATACATACATACACATGTGTATTTTTTTAGGATGGAGTCCAGCTCTGTCACCCAGGCTAGAGTACAGTGGTGCAATCTTGGCTCACTACAGCCTCCACCAGGGTTCAGGTGATCCCCTCACCTCAGCCTCCTGAGTAACTGGGAGTACAGGTGTGCACCACCACACCTGGCTGATTTTTGTATTTTTAGTAGAGACAGGATTTTGGCATGTTGGCCAGGCTGGTCTCGAACTCCTGACCTCAGGTGATCCACCCGCCTTGGCCTCCCAATGTGCTGGGATGACAGGCGTGAGCCACCATGCCTGGCGTCGAATATACTTTTATTTCTTTTTTTTTGGACAAGTATACTTTTATACAAATGACAATTTAAGAATATTACACATGGTTTCACTTCGTTATTTTATTTTATTTTTTGAGACAGAGTCTCGGTCTGTCACCTAGGCTGGAATGCAGTGGCGCTATCCCAGCTCACTGTGACCTCCACCTCCTGGGTTCAAGTATTCTTCCTCAGTTTCCCCAGTAGCTGGGATTACAGGTGTGGGCCACCACACCTGGCTAATTTTTGTATTTTTAATAGAGATGGAGTTTCACCATGTTGGCCAGGCTAGTCTCGAACTCCTGACCTCAAGTAACTCACCCATCTCAGCCTCCAAAAGTGCTGGGAATACAGATGTGAACCACCACACCCAGCCAGTTTTGCTTTAGATGCATCTTCAAGAACTATGTACCTATCTACAGTTTTGTACCTTCTTGTTAACCATTATTGACAGTATTAAACATAACCTTAATCCCAAATTGATTTTATTCTTAGAAGTAAAAGCCAGTGCTCAAACACAAACTGAATTTCCAAAGCTAATAGCTCTTTGGGGCTTCAGAACAGATGGATGTGAGCAGCTCTTCTTCATTTACTCTTCTCCACGGAAAAGAAATAGGAAAACCTAGGTCTATTAACTAGGAATGAATGCTTATTTTCCTGCTGGGAGTTCACTGGTATTAGTTTTTCTATGAATCTGCTTTTCTTTCCATTAAGTAACTTTGATATTAATATACAATTGAGTTCATTCTTGGCTACTATAATTACTTTCTAATTTCGTCTAGGCTATTTTAGAGGAACTTTCCCCGTAAACAAGTGAAAGCTTTTTAAATGTAGCCCAACCATTGGAACCACTTTATGACCTTTGTTACTGTTTTTTACTATTGAGTGGTAAGTAATATATTAAAAACCTTCTGAAGAGTCTGCTAGAAAAAAATTCAGTATCATATCCATGGTTCCCTTCTAGAAATATTCAAGGAGGTTAAATGAGATTGTCTCTGGTAGAGAGGCAAGGTCAGGCAAAAGACAGCTTTTAAGGCTGACCACTCCTGGCACAATCGTGGGTCAGTTTTGTCATCAGAGGGTTTGGCTTCATAGCTGTGAACCATGCTTTATGTACACACAAATTCTTTTTCTAGGTATTTATATTCAGCTGCATATGATTTTTTAATAGGAGTTATTTCTTGGTTATTTGCTGCTTTCAGACCACCCAAATAGAAGAGATCATGATTTGGCCCCATTTCATAGGTGGGAAGGCTGAACAAAGCACTCAGGTTAGTGGCTAGTTGAAGGTCTCACAACAGAAATCAGTGAGAGTCTTTCTTTGGTTTTGTTCTCAAATTTAGGGGCAAATTTTCCTTGATGTTTATTTTTACTCTCTGCCCTCTTTTCATATCCAGTCTACCCTAAAGCTCTGTTGTACCCTAGCACTTTAATTCAAGTGCCCCTTTGTTCATCTGTTTTTATTCACCCATATTAATAGTCTTGACATAGTTAGGGACTTGGATGGGCATATTTTAAAGTAAAATTTAAAAATAAACCTTATTGTTCCTTCAGTCTTGGAGGTGGAACATTCCTAGGCCTATGTTGCTTGCTGACTGGTTGTGAGACCTTTGAAGAAGCTCTGGAAATGGCAGCTAAAGGCGACAGCACCAATGTTGATAAGCTGGTGAAGGACATTTACGGAGGAGACTATGAACGATTTGGCCTTCAAGGATCTGCTGTAGCATCAAGGTAGAGATTAAGTAGCTAGGAGCAGTAGTGATTAAACACAAGGCAACCTCTCCACCCTGGCCATTCACTAAGTTATGTTTTAAAATGTCAATCCACCAGCCTGGTGCAAATACCTATTGTATCAGAGCTCAGATTTGATCTCCTGCCCTTGAAGCACTGAGATGTTTAGCTCTTGATGCTTGTTCTTAAAAGGCAACTTTGAAAGAAGGTTCTAGAAAACTGCAATAGTTTCACCTGTTCCATTCTTGTCCAGATATCTAGAGACATTAAATTTTTTTCCCCCATCAATGGACATGCTACTTTGTCCCTGTTAAGAAAAGGGCAGTCAGCCATGCATACTGCAATCCTGTCTGCTTATAAACCATGGTTGCAAAATCAGATCACTTGAGTTTGAACAGTTACTCAAAGAGCCTTCCACAATACTTTGGTGGAAGGATGGGCCCTGCCCAAGGCTGATTTTGAACACTCTCGCTAATATTTCCAACATAGCTTTGGCAACATGATGAGTAAAGAAAAGCGAGATTCCATCAGCAAGGAAGACCTCGCCCGGGCCACATTGGTCACCATCACCAACAACATTGGCTCCATTGCTCGGATGTGTGCGTTGAATGAGGTAAGGCCTTACTCAGCCTGGGAAAAGCCGTGTGTCATTCATACACATCATCTTGGCAGTGCAGTGTCTCTTGACTCTAACACAACTACATGTCCTTAGGAAAGCTTCCCTTTACTACAGTCACACCTTACAGAACAGGAGGGGTGTGTGTTGGGGGAGGGAGGGAATATGTGTTTTATTTTTAAGAAGGCACTGGATGATAACAAATGATAAACCATCCAACTGTGAAAACGTGATACGATTACAAACCATGTCGTAGTCTCTCCAACCATCATTGTTGCCACGTGCCCACTGAAATGTGAGGAAAAGTTCTGAGCATCCTTGCACATAACTGCAGGTAAAATGCTCGACTTGAAATATTTGATATTCTCTCTGCTTTCAGCTTCTTTACAGTGTTGCCTTGTGGCATGGAGTTCAAGCAGCATTGTACAGGGCTATCAAAGCACAGAGAGCTTGCTACAGCCAAGGCCAGTCAGAGCCCCAGGCACAAGAAGGGGTGGAGCTGGTGACAGACAAAGTTTTGGTAACATGTTTTGAAGCATTGCAAGGTTCCATTGGAAAACATTGAGACTTTTCTAAAATAGAAGGTGTGTAAAGTAGAACTCTTCACACTGAGGTGTATTAGAAAGACAAGAAAGAGGAGTTAGGGCATGGAATAAGTCATAGGAGAGCATTAAAGAACCATAGTAGATAATGGAGTTTTTATAAATGTAACTTTTAACAGAGATATGACATACATATAGAAGAAGGCTCACATTATAAGCTTACAATTTAATTTACACACACATATCCCTGCATAGCCATCACTCAGATCAAGAAATAAAATAGGTACTCAGAAACCCCCTAGAGCTCCCTCCCAGTTGAATATTGGAATGTCAGTGTATGAGGCAGTCTTTACGATAGATGGGTGCTAGCCCTGCCTCTGAGTTCTGGGGTGACAAAAAACTCACTCTCCTTGCATAACACTGAACAGAGTATGTTACTGGCCTCTAGATCAGGGACATACCTTTTTGGAAGCCCTCAGTTCAGATGGAGCTTAAATGGGAGACTGATACTCAGAGAAAAAAGCATTCCAGAGATGTTTTTTCAAAGTGCGCTTGAGTCATGGGACTCAACATAACAGAGTTTATTTCTTGACATTAACCTTTAAAGGGTGTTTTTCCAAGTAGCAAAACAAACCCTAAGACCAATATGTGTGTAGTTGGCTGTACTCATGGGCTCTCAAAGGTCAGCTGGTAACACCCCCTGCCCTACAGAGCAATACGTGCCCTTTCCCCTGCTTTCCACAGAGCTGGCTTCTTGTGCCTTTGGCTGGAGTGAGTCAGCAACTCTTTTCACAGGTATTAGAATCCCTTTGGGAGAGAGTGACTGACTTTATTTTTCACTTTTGATTTGAATTTCAATGTTATTGATGGGTGGAGTATAGCAAAAGTGCTTAATTGAAAATGTAGCCATGTTATACACTGGTTTGAGCAACTATTTTTTGTTTCCGTGGGGCTGAATGAGTGAAGGGAATCACTAGTTACCTTGGGGCCAACGCTCCATCAGAGGGTGTCCAGTCAGTACAGACTACCAGTGGACGCACCAGCAACTGGCAGTGTTGTGTTTCCCCATGAGAGCTGCCACCAAGTCCCTCAGTCCTTGCTTTGCTTTCTGGAGTCCCTTATTTGAGAACCTGTGATTTCAGCCATTTCATTGAGGGACACCACATTTACCAAATCTAACATTTTGCCATGATTCTTGAGATGCTATGAAATGCTTCTCCATCAACTTTAAATTTTCCGATTCATATTTTAAATAGATAATACAAACACATAATACAGACTTCTAAGACATTAGAAGGATACACAAGGAAGTAAGTTACCATTTCCACTTCTGTCTCTCATGTTAACCTCACTAGAGGCTGCCACTGGTTTCAGGTTTTTTTTTTTTTTATTGTATGTACTACAATATATCTTTTGTTTATATTGTATATAATGTAGGATACATTTATCTTTACAAAGGTAGCAAACTCTATATAACATTCTTTTTGTAAAATGACACATTTATTGAGATATATGCTATACAATTCACCCTCTGTATACTATTCTACATCTTGCTTTGTTTACCAGCTTTTTATTAAGAAAATTCATAGGCTGGGTGTGGTGGCTCACGCCTGTAATCCCAGCACTTTGGGAGGCCGAGGCAGATGGATCACCTGAGGTCAGGAGTTCCAGACCAGTTTGGCCAACATGGTGAAACTCCATCTCTGTTAAAAAAAAGAAGAAGAAAATTCATCAACATATATAAAGGAAAGAGAACAGTATAAAGAACCTCCATTTATACATCAGTGCAGATTGTGCAATCATAAAGGCTTCACAATGCATGCTTTATCTCTCTCTGTTTTCTTTCTCCTCCCTGTGGTCCTCTCTTCTCCATCTTCCCTCTTCTTTGCTAAAATACTAGAAAGCAAATCCCAGATGTTATATCAATCTACTCTATAGATTTTATTTTATTTATTTATTTATTATTATTATTATTTTTTTAGACAAAGTCTCTCTCTCGTCCCCTAAGCTGGAGTGCAATGGCGCCCCCTGGGCTCACTACAATCTCTGCCTCCTGGGTTCAAGAGATTCTCCTGCCTTAGCCTCCCGAGTAGCTGGGATTTACAGGTGCCTCCCACCACACCCGGCTAATTTTTGTATTTTTAATAGAGATGGGATTTTACCATGTTGGCCTACCCTATATGTTTTAATAAGCACCTCTAAAAATACTGCCTTTTGCTTTTTGACGTAATGCATCTTTAAATTGTTCATATCAGTATATTTTAAATCACTTCATTTTTAATGGCCATATAGCATGTTAACATATAGATATGCTGTTATTGATTTGTTCAATTTCCTAATGATATTTAGGTTTTTCCATTCTTTTACTATTATTTAAAAATTCACAGTATATTTGTGTATAGTATATACACACATATATATACACACATATCATTTTGCCTACATGTGAGTATATCTATAGGATAAATTCCTAGAAGGAAACTTGCTGAGTCATAGGCTATGTTGACTGTAATATTTACAGATATAAAGTTCCCTTCATAAAGGTGGTTCTAATTTATATTCCTACCAAGCATGTTTATAAGGATACAAGTTTCTCCACAAAGAAACTTTCTCTTTGATTTTTTTCAATGTAATAGGTTAAAAATTATACTTTATTTTGATATTAACTGTTAATATTATTTACTAATTACTCTGTTGGGTTGTTGGTCTTTTTTATTGATTTATAAGGACTTCTTTATTAATTAGGTAACAAATCCATTTTATGTGATATGTACTGAAAATATTTTCTCTTTGTTGCTTCCCATTTTGATTTGTTTGTGGTGATGTTTTCCCCCTGAATAAATTTAACTTTTTAAAGTAAATATAGCAATTATTTTGAAATGATTTCCTTTATTATGCATTTTTAACTTCAACATTTTTTTCCAATTCTTCATGGTTTTCACTAATCTCTCCTTCCTTTCCTTTCCTTTTCTTTCCTTTTCCTTTTCCTTTCCTTTTCCTTCCCCTCCCCCGTCCCCTCCCGTCCCCTCTCCCCCTCTCATCCCCTCTCCCCCCTCCCCTCCCCTTCCCTCCCTTTTTTTAACATCTTTGATCCATCTGGAATTTATCTGAAACATGGAATGCTCTTCCAGTTTTAATGCCACTTCTACTTCTGACTTTCTAGTAGGGTAATGCAGAACTGAGCTTTAAGCAAATCCTCGCTTGGTCTCTCTTGTTTTGGGAGAAAGGACAAAACTTTTCAATTTAATTAAATTTACCTTTAGTCTGAGTTTTTTAGAGTGTTACTTGCCACCTCTTAGTTTGGGTGATTTGTGGCTAGGTTTTTTTTTTTTTTT